GCCGGGGAGAGAAATACTCTGTGGATCCCAGGATTTTTGTTTGCACAGGGTTTGGATTATCCATAGCACAGGGATGAAGCTCACGGAGAGGCGCCATTTTGATCCCAGTGAAAAGAGATGGCTGTCACTTGTCTGGGATGTTATTGGCACATACTGTTCCCTGGTTGGGAGGGGACCCCTCTGCCCCGATGGGGAAAGTCCCCCTCTAAGCCGCAGCAGATGGGGGCGGGTTTAGCTCCCAGCCTGTCTCTCACACTCAGCCCCAGGAGGTCTCAGGGATTCCCTCTGCACTCAGAGCCAGGGGCAGCAGGAAGCCGCCTTTCTCCTCAGGCAGGTGCTGAACCGCTGGTTGGGGTCTGGATTAGTGGGGTTAGTGGGGAAGGGGCTCTGGGCACCCAGCTGTGTCGGCTGCTCCTCCATGATGGGGCTGAGGGCCCCTGAGTGAAATGAATTCACTTCCCATTGGGGGAAAACAGAGCCTGGGGTCTCCAGCTCCGAGCAGGGACTCACCTTCCAGCGCGGGGTTAAAGATCAGGCAGCCGAGGAGGCAGAGGCTGAAGTTGGCGACTGACCCCATCTTCTCGCTTCCCCTGGGGGGAATATACACAAGGGAGATGGTGCATGACAGCCTGAGACACCCCCTGGAGCGACCCCTCTCCCCTGCGTGGCATTTCACAGGGGGAGGCATTTTGCAGCTGGGGCTGTTTTCTAAGTGACCTGGCTGGGCTGGAAGGGCCCCGAGAGGGATCCCGTCCCCCAGCCTGAGGGGATGCAGCTCGGAGCCCATGTCCCTGGTTCTGAAGGGCCCTTCTGCCTCTAGCCCTCACCGAGCCGTGCCCCAGGGACAGAACTGGAGACCCGGCAGGGAGCCAGGTCCCAGCTCCTCAGTGACTGTGCTCTGCAAGCCGCACCGCCAGAGACTCAGGTGGGGAGGAATCGGGGGTCAGCAGGGAGGCCGGGGTCACTCAGATAGGGCCTGGGTCCTAGGCAACAGGGTCCTGTTTACAGAGCAAAGTGGTCCTCAGACGGGGCATTTGCCATCTCCTGCTGTCCCTCTCTCCCCAGTGCTGGGACTGGCAGGTCCGCACAGTAGCCACCTACATGGAACGTGGAGGGAGGGCAGAGGTGGGAGGAGGGAAGAGTTTGGAAGAGGCCCCAGTGCCACCAGGATGGAGGCCAGTCTGTGTGCACAGGGCTGGAATGCCGGCTGCAGGTGCAGCACCTCTGCAATAGTTCTCTGACTAGAGACCAGTTCGGTGTTAGAAACATGGAGCCTCTCGTGTTATCACCCACTGACCCCACCCCGGGGCCTTTCCCCCACTAACAGGTGTTTGAATCACACTCATATTTCCAGCTCCAGGGAGACTGAGTGTCTGGGAAGCCAACACTGTGTGTTTGGGGCAGGGGGGCTATCTGAGGGACCCTGGCCTCCCTGCTGACCCCCGATTCCTCCCCACCTGCAGCCCTAGTTCGGGGAGTCCCTGGTGGTGCGGCTTGCTGAGCCCAGTCACTGAGGAGCTGGGACCTGGCTCCCTGCCGGGTGTCCAGTTCTGTCCCTGGGGCACGGCTCGGTGAGGGCTAGAGGCAGAAGGGCCCTTTGGAACCAGGGACATGGGCTCCAAGCTGCATCCCCTCAGGCTGGGGGACGGGATCCCTCTCGGGGCCCTTCCAGCCCGGCCAGGTCACTTAGAAAACAGCCCCAGCTGCAAAACGCCTCCCCCTGTGAAATGCCACGCAGGGGAGAGGGGTCGCTCCAGGGGGTGTCTCGGGCTGTCATGCACCATCTCCCTTGTGTATATTCCCCCCAGGGGAAGCGAGAAGATGGGGTCAGTCGCCAACTTCAGCCTCTGCCTCCTCGGCTGCCTGAT